CCTTGTTTTATTAGCATCTTCTGAAACTGATCCTCCGCGCACCTTAGAAAGGTTCACAGCCGAGAGCGACGTGATCGACATGCATGCGAACGCATCTAAAACGAAAAGCCTAATGCTTTCTCGTTCTCCTGCCCGTTGCTCTCTTCCGATTAACAGAGAGGCAGTGGAGCTGTTGGAGAATTTCAAGTATCTCGGAACTGCGTTTACTAATGATGGAAAATTGAAGGAAGAGATCGACCGGCGAATTGGAGTAGCCAGTGAAGTTCTGGGTGAAGCAGCCCGATCCGTTGTGACTAAAGCAGGACTGAGTCTGAAAACTAAAATGTCGCAATTCAGTGAATTTATCCCCATGCTTACATGCGGTCATGCGTCGTGGACCATGAGTGAAAGTTTCGAACCCGGGTACCCACTGCTGAAATGGGATTTCTGAGAAGAGTCGCTGGCCTTGCGCGTTTGAATTTGGTCCGGAAAACAGACAGCCGCGAGAGCCTTGGTATACAGCTGCTTTTTCTTCAGATTGAGAGGTCACAGGTGGGATGGTTTGGGCACTTGTTGCGAATATCTCTAGGAAGGAAAGCTAAGCAACTCTTTCTTGCCCAACCCACCGGCAGAAGGCTCAGGGGATGGCCAGAATTAACCAGGTGCAAATAAAAGGTACGAGTGTACTCCAGACTCCGGTTGGCTTCTGCCGAAGCTTATACTCTGGCACAGGATGGGGAACGCTGGAAACTGTCTGGTGCGTCTGCCTCCGCAACCGAAAGGAGAAGCGGCTAAGGAAGATGAAGATGAAGATAGACACAGAGGCAAATATGCAACTACTTATTTCAGTGAAGAGATCAAATTTTAACGAAAGCCGATATTGCTTGTTACTGACTGATTTCAACGTTCTGAAAGGACATGAATTCTAAACCCAAGCAAGAATTTATCAACATGCAGTAGAGACTGGAATCATCTGATACTCCAGTTACAGCAGTCGAAAACTGTGAGTTACTCACAAGTGTTAACATACGATAACCATAATAGTAAGGTACGAAAGGAAAATGCTAACCGCATGATTAAGCTTCACGGTCCAGTCAAATTCGTTGTCGTATACCCAGCAATTTTTGTCCAAAACAGCTTTAAACAGTTCCCAACAATAATCATAATCAGGCAGTTCGAAAAAATCCAATCGTCTCGAATATCGCAAATATTTGGCGAATTCCTCTGACAAAATATCAAGTTTTGAATTAGAATTAAACGAAGCAAATAATTCAGAAAATTTAACATTCTTGTGCAAATGACTGCAACGCAAACAAGCATAAAACAAAGTAACTCAACAATTGACCAACATTACATCGAGAAAGCAATGATCTACAGTCAAAGTACATAACAAGAAAAGTCATAATATTCTTTCGCAGCAGTGAATAAAAAAAAACTCTCGCAAACTAATACCGATATAGAAACAAGATTACTGATAACGCGACATATGTGAAATTCTTGGCTTAATGAAAAAGCCAGAGAACGTTGATAGTGTGAATGCTGATAGAGGAAGAACAATGACATACGAAAAAGCAGAATGTTAAGTGAACAAAAATATATTCGATAATCGAGATTTTTATATGAGGTGACATGGGAAAAATTCGAAAGCTCGCAAAACATGCCTGCGTAGAAGGGTGCGGTCAAAATGTCAGTCTGATAGAAACGATTCAAGTGACAATAGGCACATGACGGATATACATGAGAAGCAAGAAAAACAGACAGACAAAAAGAAAACAACGTCATCCAGAGGCTTCACCAAATTTGCCGGCTGGAAACGACATTCAACATTTCCATATCAAGAAACAGACACGAAGTCGAAATATAGAAACAGCGACAGGGGATACCATCGATGAATAAGGCGAGGCAGTCTCAAGAAAACAACGTGAACAAACTTTCAGCTACTCAGAGCTCAAGGTTTGATGACAACTTAGTGAAGTAGGGTAACTGAAAATGCTGAGATAATAACAATGATGCACAGAAGAGAAACGACGAGCTCAATAAATTTCATTAATGATATGTTGCTATACCAGGAAATCCTTCACACAAGATTTCAATTGGAGTTGCTCTTTTGGTGTCCCCAATCTTCTGGTATCTTTCTTTGAGCGTGTCCGCCTTCAAGCCTTGCCATGGAAGGCTCCCGCGTAGAAAGTACATAAACATGTGACCCAGCGCTTCTAAGTCATCACGACGGCTTTGTTCTGAAATACTTGATATAATATTTGACAATTTTACCACCAAAAAAATATATAGTGATGCAATTTTCAGGAGGAAAATTAGCATAAAAATACATCTCATCAGTTAAAGCTGAAGATACGTTAGCAACCATATAAGTGCATACTTAAAATTAAACTGGTGATGAAAAACGAGCATTCCATACGCTTAACAAAGTATTAGCTGCTGCTGAAGACGGATTATGAGACGAAAATAAGGCTTTTGAAAACTGAACTGCTCTCGATAGCTCAGTTTCGGTAGATAAGTTTAAAAGCATTTTTTACTTTAATTATTAGTGAAATATAAAAATTTACAAGATTTATCAAAATAGTTTTAAAAAGGCAAAACTTTGTCGTTTTCGAACAGACAACAACGTAACATAACTCCGATGTTCTGGGGTAGATCTCACAAGTGGGAGCTATCGATACTGCCGTCAAATACATGATCTTAAAATAAACCGGACTGAAACAGCGAAAATGTATTTCTCACCACACCACACTACACCAACTGTGTCATTGCATCACCCCTTTGCATCTACTCGCCTAAGGCGTCATTTAAAAGACGTTGTTTATACCACTTTCAAAGTGCCATGAATTACCTAGCAGAATAACGCAAAAAATAAGAAAGATCAACAAATCGACTAGCAAAGCACTGAAAGACCCTAGTCAATAAAAGATGCTGAATTTTCCAACAGCTGACCTCTTTGTGGTGAGAACTGCCATTCTGGAAAACTGCGCGAAACGAACAAGAACAGCATTTGTTCAGAGATTTCTGTCTCAATACAGAGATGAAACAATTTGTCGTTCAATACATGAAATGACCATAACGTCCGTATGCAACAGCTAGCTCAGTAAGATTGACAAGATGCGGAGACCAAAATGAAGAAACATACTGCACAAGGTCTATATAAGACGTCATAATTTACCAGATGCGGGAATATCAATCATTTTATCTATCATTCGAACACGCGTTGCCAAAAAACCTACATGAACTTAGCACTGAGAGCATCTGCATGCAGTCTATTAGCCATAGAATGGCTATCAACCGGCAGAAGATAAAACATGCAAAAGCTCTAACTTGATCACAGGTCCATGCGCTCAATTCCGAAGGAGAAATTTAGTCTTCCCCTGAGGAAGTGGAAAGTGCTCTGTACAAAGGGCCGGTAACAGAGTCCCTCATTTTAATGAGCGATCTAAAGAGATTAATGCGCATGTTGGAGCAGACACTGAAAACTGTACAGAAATGACTTGAAAGAACGGCCCTAGCGACTTCAACAACAGCAGCACAAACCCGTTGCGGTTTAGCGCAAATAACGGACTGTCCGTAATGAATACCTTCTTCGAGCATCGAAGAGTGCACCAGTGTAGCTGGTACAAGGAAGTGT